ATAAAACATGTGTTTCTTGGTGGCACTTTCCACTGAACGCTCCTGACAATCGCCATGCTGGATGTATTCGGTGCTTTGGTCTGATGCATGTGTTTATATGGTGTTTATTCTGTCAGCTGTTGGTGTATGTCGAGCCGATCCTGTGGATATTACGGGGTCGCTCTGACCACAGCCTCGTCTGCAGAGTCCAGTTCGCATTTTGAGCGACGCCCCCAAATTCCGTGCAGAGTGTTTGCAGACCCTCCGGGACGGAGAGGTGGAGGAGGAATCGGCAGCTCCGCCGTCCGTGTACGCTACGATCACCTCGCCATTAGTTCATGACTTCATCATATCTTTGACAGGAGAGTTCGGGTTGTATTTGGAAGGTAAGCGGGGACGTTTTGTCGACACTTGCTGCTGATTTTCGCTGGTTTGTTTTGTCGCCTTTTCCTGCGCGCTGCGCCGTGTCGCAGCGACCACTCGGACTGTGGTCAGCTCGCCGTGGCGTCGGTCGAGCACCGTCTTCTTAGGTAACCTTAATCACGCTGAAATGATCGATCTGGCTGGCCGATCGACCCGCTACAAGGTTTATACACCGATCCTGTAATAACATATGTGTCCCGTGTTTAATCGGTGGAATAGTTTTTCTACAAATGTGGACATGGATATAGCCTGGTCTTTTTTTATCCACAGCAACCGCATCGTTGCGCACCTCGCTCCTCGTCGTCGATACCAGACAAAAGACAGCCTGTTTTTTTTACGGTCCCTTATTTAGTGTTTCTCTGGTGAGCTTAAGCTTTGGCTGGCACACATAACAGCAGTCGTCAAAATGTATTTGAAAAGCGCGCTCCACATTTGACCTGCGCATATGCGCATATCTTTGCATATTGTTGTCGCTCTGTTATTGATTGCATTGATATACCGTGAAATTCTTAAAGGGATACTGCCTCCTGTATGCGGAAATCATTGGCAGGGCATGCACTGTCACATACATGGCTCAGCTCTCCTCTGTTCAAGTGGTTTTATTTCTGAACATATGTACACATATGTTATATTTGTGTTTAAACACAGGTTCTGAGCGCTCTGCTGCTCTGACAGTGTTTAGTAGCTCTGGCTGTGAAAATATCTTCAGTCTTATCTTCCCTGTTTACTCTCTTTCTGTATTTGTGTCTCCAACATTTCTATTCTTAACCTTCCTCTCTTCATCCCCTATTCATTTCTAGCTCTCCAGGACTCTGAGGCTGCTGCAGAGAATGGGAATAGGGACACAGGCCAAGGCTTGCCATTTTGGCTGAAGTAACAGCAGGACGGTTGTCAACCCCGCATCGGCTTCAATCCCCTTCTCCCTCACCTCTCCTCCCACACTCACACTCACAAGGACAGACACCCCCGAACACAGCCACTGCTATGTCCACCGCGGTAGACATCGCTGGCCCTTCCTCCCCAGATCAGGCCCACAGCAGCGCTAAAATCCCCAACGAGCCACTGAGACCGAGCCTGAAGCGCTCCAGCCACCCCTACAGCCTCTCCCATTACATCTCCACCCCTTCCCCGGCCGTGGATGTGAAAGGCCTGATCCAGCCCTCCCCGGCCCAGGAGCGGGCCGCCCAGCCCGGCCACAATAAGCCTCGCCGGGCCCCTTCCTGGCCCGACATGTTTGAGTCACCCAGCGGGCTCCACCTGGCCCACGCCGCAGAGCTGCTGATGCGCGCCGGGCTGCTGGCTCTCACCCCCGCCACCACAGAGCAGGCCAGCCTGGGTGCACAGAGCAGCCAGCCGGCTAAAAGAGAGGCTGCAGAGGCGAAGGGGGGAAAGGGAGACGGCGAGGGAGGCGGATCCGGGCCTGAGGAGGAGGAAGAGGACTCCTCTGGATGTGGCACTGACTTCCAGCCCTTCCTGGGTGCCTGGTTTCCCTTCAGCCCCGCTCTGTTCCCCCTGGCGGGCTTCCAGATGGGGGGAGGCCACTGGAGAAGCACGGCCATGGGAGCGGAGGGCATCGAGGGGCTGGTGGCCGAGGGCTACTCTCCCGGCTCTCTGGGCGGAGGCAGCGGAGGGAGGAGGAAGAGGAAGAGGTGCGGGGAGTGCATACCGTGCCGACGTCAGACGAACTGCGAACAGTGCAGCAGCTGCCGCAATCGCAAGAGGGGACACCAGATCTGTAAATACAGGAAGTGCGAGGAGCTGAAGAGGAAGCCTGGAGGGCCCGGGTTTGAGAGCAGAGTGTCTGGGTTTGATCTAAGGGGGTCCGACTTTACTTTGGGTCTGGCACAGGAGAGAAGCAATGGAGCCTTGGATGGATAGTAATGCTTGTGGCGGCAGCATTTGTCAGAGGATCCTGGTTGGATGATTGTTGAGGAGCTGCAGCTTGATAAAAACACACAGGACACCATGTTAACATGCTCGGACTGTGATTCAGAGATCTTCAGATCTGGTGTTTAGCGAGAAGCTGCAGCTCCGTTTAAGAATGTCCACACTCGTTCCCATCCTTTCTTTTGACAATCAGAGAATTGGAGAGGAGAGAAAGAAGGATACCAATGTGTGTCAATATTTAGATGACGACAAAAATGCTGTAAATAGACTGTAAATATCTGGAAAACATTATGTCTTTTTGTTTTTTTACATTGCTTTCCAGTTTGGATGTATTGTGCTTCAACATAAAACGGAGCCAAATGTTTTTGTTTCTAATGGGGAGTTTTTGTTTCTGTTGTTCTGACGTCACTGCATCAGTAAGAAACGAATGAGTTCGGCCTCGGCTAAATTATTTCATGTGCAACTTGTACTGTATAGCTCTGTTTGCCCTTTTGAAATAAAAGAAATTTGCCATGTGCACTTGTCTACAAGCTTTATGCCACGTCTCTGTGTGTGTGTGCGTTCATTTTTAATTGGACGCGCGCGCGTGTGTGCGTCTGTTTGCAGCCGTGCGCACACGTGTGTTCATGTGTGTGCGAGTTTGTGTGGATTATGAGTCACCTAATGGTGTGGCTGAAAGCCTTATCGCAACCCCACAGACGCACACACACAAACACACCTACACGCTGCCTTGGCAAGTCCGGTGCATGCACTCGAGCACACCTAACCTGACACGCAACACACAATC